TCAATTTAGAGTGTATTAACGTCATGACAATACTGAGTCTTCTAATCCATGGACATTTATGTACGTATTTTTTAGTTCCCGTAAGGAATGTGGTGCAATTTTCAGTATACAGGTCTTCCACATTTTTTGCTACATGTATTACTAAGAATTGCATGTTTCCTGATGCTACTGAAAATAAAATGATTTCAAATTTCATTTTTTAATTGCTTGCAGCTAGTATATAAAAATGCAATTGTTTATTATATACTGACCTTGTTCACTGCAACTTTGCTAAATTACCTTTTTTAGTTCTGGTGGTGATTTTATAAATTCCCTAGAATTTTCTGTATAAATAATCTTATCATCTGTGCATAGAGGCAGTTTTTTACTTCTTTCTTTTTCATCTCTATGTACTGCCTTTCCTCCCTCCCTCCCTCTTCTTTCTTCCTGTTTTTTTCTTTCTTTCTTGCACTTGCTAAGAACCTCCAGAACAATGCTGAATAGAAATAATGAGCCAGGCTCGGTGGCTCAGCCTGTAATCCCGCGCCTTGGGAGGCCGAGGTGAGTGGACTGCCTGAGCCTGCGGGTTCGAAACCCGCCTGAGCAACTTGGTGAGACCTCATCTCTACAATAAATCAAAAAATCAGCCGGGCGTGGTAGTGCATGCCTGTAATTCCGGCTACTCAGAAGGCTGAGGCAGAAGGATCGCCGGAGTCCAGCGGGTCGAGGCTGCGGTGGCCGGGGGCGGCCACTGCACTCCAGTCTGGGCGACAGAGTGAGACTCCAACTCAAAAAAAAAAAGAAAGAAATAATGAGAGTGAATATCTTTGCCGAGTGAATATCTTTGCCATGTTCCTGTTTCTAGAGGGAAGTATTTCATGTTTTATCATTAATGATGCTAGCTGTTGGTGTTTCAAAGATGCCCTTTATTGAGTTGATAAAATTTTCTTCCAATCCTCATTTGCTGGGAGTTTTTAAACAACAATGAATGTTGGATTTTGAGAAATGCCTTTTCTGTTGCAATAAACAAGTATGTGGAGTTTCTCTTTTATTGTGTTAATATGGCAAGCTATATTAAATTTTGAATGTTAAACCAAACTTGAATTTGTGAGATTAACTTCACTTGTTCATGGTAGAGTATCTTTTCTTAGTATCGCTGGATTTTATTAACTTTCTAAAAATCTATATTCAACAGAGATATTGGCCTGCAATTTTCTTTTTTAAAAAAATTTTTGTCAGGTTTTGGTATTAGGATTATACTTGCCTTATAAAATGACTTGGGAATAATTTCTTTCTGCTCTATTTTCTGAAAGAGTTTGTGTAAGAGTGGTGTTATTTCTTCCCTAAGTATTTGATAAAATTTACTAGTTAGGCCATCTAAGTTTGGAGTTTTCTTCGTGGGAGGGGTTTTAAGAATTCTTTCTTTTTATTTCTTATCTTTTAAGACATAGGGCCTTCCATTTAATTTGTGTCAATATTTGTGAGGTGTATTTTCTTCAAGGAACTTGTCAAGTTCACCTAAGTTGTGAAATATACTGGGACCAAGCGCTCCATAATATCATTAATTGTCCTTTAATGTCGTAGGATCTGTAGTGTATCCCCTCTTTTATTCTTGACATTGGAATTTGTGTACTCTTTTTATCCTTGAGCAGTCTAGTTGGGTGTCTATCAAGTTTACTGCTTTTTAAAAATAATTAGCTTTTGAACTTCTAATTTTACCCCCATTGTTTGTCTGTTTTTTATTTCATGAATTTGTGCACTTTATTATTTCTTCCCTTCTGCTTATTTTAGTGAGTTATTATGCTTTTCTGAAGATTACTTTTTCTTTTGAACTTTTATTTTCTTTGAGTTGGAGCCTCACTCTGTCTCCCAGGTTGGAGTGCAGTGGCATGCTCATGGCCACCGCAGCCTTGACCTGTAGGGCTCAGGCGATTCTTCCACCTTAGCCTTTCATCCTGGCCACCACACCCAGCTAATTTTTTTTTTTATTTATTGTAGAGATAAGGTCTTCCCAAGTTGCCCAGGCTGGTCTTGAACTCCTGGGCTCAGGCAATCCTCTTGCCTTTGCCTCCCAAAGTGCTGGGATTACAGGTGTGAGCCACTGCACCCCGGCTGAAGATTACTTTTATTTGTCTGTCTTTTTGTTTAGCAGTCGGCAAACTTGGCTAGATTCAAATGCCAATTTTTTTTCTCCTAAGTACGCAGCAAAGAAATTCTTAGTTCAGTTTGTTTAGCATTAACTGGACTGCTCAAAGTCTTCCTAATAAATGCATAGTTCAGAGATTAGCCAGGGTCTTGAATAGATTTTATATACTGAATTTATAACTCCCTTTCCATGGCTCTCTTCTTTGTAGCATTTGTTCTTTCATTTTATAGCTGTTGAGCTATTAAATCCAACACTGTTGGTTTTTCAAGTCATTAAGACTTCAGATTTTCTATCTCCATTTTAGTTGTCTTGGCTACACTGGTATCTGCCCTCAGATGAAATCTGTAAGCCAAGGAAAATTTGCCCATGCTTTTTCCTTCTTCCAAGTGTAGATTTGATTTCCCTCCATTGCAGACCTACTGTTGGCTGCTTTCAGTGACTTCAGACAGTTGTTCTTTTGTGTTTTGTTTAGAATGTATAGTTGTTATCTGCAGGAGGGTTGATCCCGGAGGAACTAATCATCCATTATCAGAGGCTGGAAGCCCCAGTGCGTTCATCTTCAATTTCATTCCTCTCCCTGTCTCTGATGGCTCTGTTTGTAAGTGGTGACTTGGCTAAGTTTCTAGTGCCAGGAGCAAAACTGTGGTGCTTACATAACTCACAAACTGGGTGAGTTGGTCTCTGGATAACTGGGGTCACTATATCAAAAGTCTTTCAAAAGTAGAACTCTTGCTCTATGATGCTATCGGAGTCCACATCTAATTGGGACTAGGCCAGCTCTCAGTAAAATTGGGAAGTTCACTTAAGTTATCCTCTTGGAACTTAGTCTTCAGCACTAAGTGGCTCCTTCTGCCTGGATACAAATGCTCCCTGAACCCTGAGATCTTCTCTCCATGGGCAGCCCCCTGTCTTCCCGACGGCTAGTCTGTTTTGGGTTGCTTTAAAGAAATACCTGAAACGGGGTAGTAGAGAAGGAAAAGAGGTTTATTCGGCTCACCGTTCTGCAGGCTGTACAAGAAGCATGGCGCCAACGTCTGCTCGGCTTCTGGTGAGGCCTCAGGAGGCTTTCACTCACGGTGGAAGGGGAAGAGAGAGCAGGAGTGTCATGTGGGGAAGAGGCAGCGAGAGCGAGGGGAGGGTGGGTGCCAGGCTGTTTTAATCAACCAGCTCTCGTGTGACCCAATAGAGCGAGAGCCAGCACCATGGGGAGGGCACCAAGCCATCCATGAGGGATCCGCCCCTATGACCCAAACACCCCCACTAGGCGCCATCTTCAACGTGGGTGACCATGTTTCAGCATGAAATTTGGAGCGGACAAGGCCAGACTGTATCGCTGACTCCCCTCTCTTCTAGTACCTGTCAGAACTCCCTGTACCCCTTCCTCTCCCCTTGTCCTTTTGCTCAGCTGGACTAGCAAAGGACTGGAAACTTAGTCCCGGGCTGTGTGACAAGCCCAGGGCTAATATGCTTTCTTTCACAAGACTCATCTCCGTTGGCTATGGACCACCCCGAAGCCACAGGATGAATCCCAGGATGTTAAAGTGATTTCGCTTCTTCACTTTTACCGTAGAGAAAACAGATTTCCAGAGAGAACGAATGACTTGACCAAGACCACGCATTCGCAGAACCGGAGCTGAAATCCTAATTTCTAACGATGGTTTGGTTCCGGGATGGCTTCCGGCGTCAAGCCCAGGGCCAGGGTGTGGACGGTGACAGCGCCACAGGTATCTGCCTGGCTGGTTTCACTCCTAGACAGGGACAGTCAGAGCATGGCTTCCTAGTGGCTTCACAGTGTCAATATTGTTAGGGAAAAGAAATCTGTGTCTCCCTTGGAAACCTGGTCGTCCGAAGAGGGGATAAAGGAGGGACAGACGAGGAAGAAGGAAAAGGGAGGCAGAGCAGGCAAGATGGGGACGAGAGGACGGAGAGGAGTGGGCGGGTGACAGAGAGACAGAGCTCGGTTTAACTTCCTAACGCTCGGTCTCCCATCTTTGTTCCCACTGCCATCCCCAAGTTCAGAGAAGAGGAAATGAGCTGGACTCATTCACACACTCCCCTCCTTGTGCCCGGCCTCCAGCCCTCCCTCGAATCCGTTCTTCACACCTCTAGAATGACAATCTCCAGAGCAAAGGGGGGGTGGCGTCTGTTCCTGCTTCCAGGCCTGTCTTGTATTACATCCCTGCTACTGCCGCTTGGCTGAGAAGGGACCGGTGAGAAGCACCCACAAGGTCAAGGAGTCTGGGGACAAGATGGGACAGGGGGATGGGAGCGGGGAGGGGGGTGCTTCACGTTTAATCGCCCTGGAGCCTGCAGTTTCGGCTTCCATGGGCATCCAACGCCCTGCATCTCTCCTTACAGGGAGGCGACATCAAGCTAACGGTTAGGCAGGATGAGACCTTGTCCTCAAAGGAAGAAAATTGGAGAGGAAAGGCCATTTGCTTCAGTTTTGGTTTTGTTTTGGCTTTCCTCAAGGTCTTTTTTTTTTTTTTTTTGAGTCGGAGTCTCTCTCTGTCGCTCAGAGCGCAGTGGCATGCTCACGGCCACCACAGCCTCGACCTGCTGGGCTCCGGCGATCCTTCCGCCTCAGCCTTCCAAGTAGCTGGAACTACAGGCGTGCACCACCATGCCTGGCTAATTTTTGGATTTATTGTAGAGATGAGGTCTCGCCAAGTTGCCCAGGCGGGTCTCGAGCCCCCCAACTCAGGCCACCCTCTCGCCTCGGCCTCCCAAAGTGCTGGGATGACGGGCTTGAGCCACTGCACCCGGCCTCCTCAAGATCTTTAAGCAGACGTGATCGGCATCATCCCTTACAGCTGAAATTTCATTGTCGCATTTATTGATTACTAAAAGGTTTGTATGTGTTTGTAGTTTGCTGTTTCTTAACAGTGTTCTATATTAAAACATACCCTGCTCCAAACGCCACAAAGGAGAGGGGTCTTCCTCCTTTTCCCACACCCCCACCATGGCCTGGTTCCCTCCCCTCCCCTCCCCTTCCCACCCCTCACATCACAGAACACTTCTGCTCCGCTGTCTGCTTGATTTCGGTGAAGGTGGCCTGGGCTTTTTCTTTGATGGTATCCAAGTCCATATTCTGGAGATTCTGTAACTGCCCGAGAATGGAATCCTTATCTTCTTCTTCTTCTTGGTCTTCATCGACCATTTTCCGGAGGTCTTCGGGCAAATCCACGTCGTCTCCACCCAACTGGATTTGAGTCTCATCCATTTCACTCTATGTGAAAAATAAACACAAGGAGAGATCGATAACCCTACCATCAGCCGACCAACCAAAAAAAAAATACATCTATTATTTATTTTTAAATAATCTATTATTATTTTAAAGATCTTTTCTGTCATCTGGGCTGCAGTGCAGAGGCACGATTGTAGCTCACGGGAGCCTCAAATTCCTGGACTCAAGACATCCTCTTGCATCAGCCTCCAGAATAGCTGGGGCATGTGCCACCATCCCAGCTGATTTAAAAAAAAAATTTTTTTTTTTTTTTAAATAGAGACAGAGGTCTTGGTCTGTGGCCCAGATTGGTCTTAAACTCCTGGCCTCAAGTAATCCCCCCGCCCTGGTCTTCTAACGTGTTGAAATTAAATTATAGCCGCTGCATCCAACCTAACAAATAAATAAATAAAATGTAAGGGCATCAGGAAAGAGAAAGGTCTGTTGAGAACGAATGAAGTAAATGGCACACGTGACTGTCTTGAAGCAGAGCCTGGTGGCAGTCATAGAGGCCCCTTCACCGCACTCTGGGCTGATCAGAGCCTTCTAACACAGTGGTTCTCCACGCATCATTGACATCACTTAGGAGCCTATTAGAAATGTAAATTGCCATAAAAAAGAACAAAATCATGAATTTCGCAGCAACCTGGATGGAACTAGAGTCTATAATACTGAGTGACCTCTCACAAAAACAAAGATCCGAGTATCACATGTTCTCACTCATATAATGGACCTTGAACA